CGGTGCATGCCACCCGACCCCGTCGAGCCTTGGCTCATGCCCTACACTCTACCCGCCATCATTGTTGCCACTATACGTGATCATGGCTCCATTGCCTTCGTTTGTAATCTCTTGACCTCCACCCACTTCCGGCTGTATCACCCCTATAGCCCTCGGTTGTGGCTACACGCCCCGGCGAGGATGTGGATCTTGGAGAGAAACACATCTCTGGGCTTTTGGGAAAATTCTACATAAACCAAATTGGCTAGTTAAGAACCCTTAAAAAGGTAAAGCTTGGCACATTGTGCAGAAAAACATAGGGTGCCCCACAAATCTCTGAACACCTCCCAATAGGGCGTGTTGGTGGGATGCACCTAGAGGTGTTTTTAGGGCCTGCAAGGTGCCACTCATAACATGTACAAATCTCTACTGGAAACTTATAGGAATAGTAGGACAAAAAGGCTGGAAGAGCTCACAGTAAGAGATGTTTGTAAAAAAGTGTATGTATTGGTTTTCATTCTTTTGGAATGTTTGGGTCATCCTAAATCGGCCTTTCATATTTATAAGGTGAGGAGTGAGGTTTATCTTTTCATGAAATGCTTACAACTTCTTACGTTCAAAAAAAAATGTTTACAACTTCTAAATCTACACACAAATCTTTAACCTCATCTTAAGGTTTTAACAAAAAAACTCCGGTAATTGGTTTTGTGGCTAAAATCGGTGCAGGGTCACAAGAAAAGAACCAATTTAAGCCGGTTTTGTTGGAGTTAAACAAATAAGTGAAATTACCATATTTGTATTCTCTCTTAGTTTGTTTGAAAATATCTAAAATTAACTATACTGAAATATGAAGGAGTATTAGTTAGATTAATTATCGAATTTGCTCACATTTACATGTTGAAGAAAAAAGAAAGAGGGGTAAATGGTACCCAGGAAAATCCAATATGGGCGCTAGATCTCTCTGTTTCAGTGAGCCGAGGCCGGCTTTAGATAGTGCAAAAAGAAAGACACGAAGGAAAAAAACTGATAAATCCCAAATTACATGCCCCCCAAATAAGGTAAATATGTCGCCTAAATCCTCTATCCACCCTCTCAATTTCCTCTATAAAACAAACTGCACTGCTCCTTGGTCCTCCAAGAAGAAAGGAACATAGAACAACACAAGGAGGAGACCTCGATCCACACACCTCACGCCTGAAGGCCAGATCTAGCCTTCTTCTTCCTCTCCTTAAGGACAACGATTACCCTAACATCAAACAAGAACCGAAGAAAATATAGCAAAACAGCGCGCGCGCACCACGCCGGCCCACTTGCACGCACGTATAGCAGGACGCGCGCATCCGTGCATGGGGCTCCTGGACCAGCTGTGGGGACGACACGGTGGCTGGGCCGCGCCGGACTCCGGCCTCGGCAAAGCCTCCGCAAAGTACGCCTCCTTCTCCCCCTCGTCGTCCGCATCCGTGGCTGCGGCCGCCGTCGTCGCCGACCGCAGAGGGGGCGGCGGCGGAGCTCTTCCGCGCCGCCCAGCCGTGACGCGGAGCATCACCATGCTGCGGCCCGCGGCGCTGTCCGTCATCACGTCGCCGCGCAGCGAGTCCAGCTCCGCCGTCGTCGCCGTCGCCTGGCTGCGGCGCTCCGGACTCGCCCTTCGGCGCAGGTGACCAGCTCTCTCATCTTCTTCTTCTTCTTTCAGTTCTTGCTGTCTGGTGTGTCGTAGTTTCGTTTTGAAAGGTGTTCCAGCATGAAACCGCTCAAAAAATCACAGTTGTATGCTCTGTTTTAGCGGGATTACGATATCTCGTAGCCAATTTAGGCTACTTTTTGGATAACTGAATGGTGAGATCCGAAACAGAAGCCCCGCGTTTAACACCCTGCTGATGTTGTTGTATCTCTGTACGTTGCCATCCCTGATGCTGCAGCGACGACGCCCAAGGAGAGGGCTGGAAGAAGTTGCGCCGAAAGTCAGGATGGCCGACGGCGGCGATGCCCCCGCACGCCGAGGAGCCCACCGTCTACGACTGGTGAGTACTACTCCGTACCTCGCTTATTGTACGGTATAAATCGCCTCTATATACCACAGATTTTTTCTGAACGTACCGTACCGTGAGTACGTGCTACGATGGTATAGGAGTAGTACGTGAAATGACTAGGACATCCAATGAATCTTGCTTGATTTGGTAAGATATCATCTGATCTGCGTGTCTCCGACTCCCACGGCAGGGTGGTGATCAGTTCGCTGGACCGCTGAAGCAGCCGGCCGAGCCCGGCCCAAGACGACAACTGCACAAGCAAACCATCAACAGCTGGCGAACTGCCGAACTGAAGGAGGATCTGGAGTTCTGAACAGAGGGGCATATATATAACCTCTTTCAGAGCTTCAGGTGACGGTTCTGTTGTAGTATACGTTAACGGTGTAGTATGTCATCTTCTTGTAAATCTCCGTGTGAGGCCCTGCTGATTTTGTAAGCTGCTGCTTTCTGCTGCTGCTCCGTACTACGCTCGGCATCAGCTCGTGCATGTCACCGTGTATTTATGTATGCCGTTGTCGTCCAAGCCTTGAAGGGCAAGCGGGCAGCAGCAACACAAGGTCGTGCTGTGGCCAGACTGGCGAGGTCGATGTAGCAGAGTCCTACAGCACCTGGTAAAGTGCTGAAGAGAGTGGTACATATAATACTCCTGTGTACTAATCCTGTTGTTGTATGAGTGGCTACACAGCCTCCTCTCCCTTCTTCGTAGTTTGTACAGGGTACTCCAGTACGGTTTTGCCAGCCGTGTACTAGTAATGTAAAATGTATAATCCTACGTACGCAATGCAACAATAATGCGTGGTTGAGTGTTGTGGATATATCCAGTAACACGCTTTTTGGCAACATCTTGGCTTGTCTACCACAAAGGAAACATCTCTATCATCAGGGGGCGTCGATCTCTTCACTGCTTAGTGCGTTCCGGTACCAATAATTCAGTCCGTCCATCGCACTCCTGACGTCAAACCGGTGTGTGTAGTTTAGCTTCGATGCAATGCCCACCGTGCTGGCCTCATCAGTCCGGCTCGCTCCCTGCCGGTACGGGACGGCACAGCGATGTCAGCGTTGCTGTTGCCTGTATCCTTTTCGTGAGCTCCCTTTCCCGCGGCCAAGCTTTGGCCTTACGTAGCTTTTTAGTGAGGCTGCTGCGTCTGCGTGCCCGGATTCCTGGCCTTCGATGCAGCTTACTCGAAGGGAGGTGTAGTGTAGTGACTCTGCTTTCTTTCTGCTTCCCATTCCCATGAATAGGAAGTGGAGGGCTAACCTCGCCATCACGGCATCATTCATGTTATATATACGGTATCTCTGATTATTTCATGTAAGAATTCAATAATTTGGCAGCCTCTGTAAAAATATATAAAGGTAATCATACACACGCCTTTCAATTTATTTGACAAGTTTTTCACCCATTCCTTGAAACAGAAAAAACATTTAGAGTACACCAGCAATACGTCAGACATGATACTTGACCATACCAATAAGGAATGTTTTGGCTACATCAAGTAAAAGCTGAATGGCCAGAGCACTCTTCTCTCTTCTATCATGTCCGATACTTGACCATACCAGTACCATAACAGAGCACTCTTTACGTTGATGGCTTGATTAACTGGTTGCCAACTTATATGTAGAACTCAATCTCTCTCTATGTAGTCACCACTCTTGATAGGTGCAAACCTGGAAAAAAAAGAAGTGTCAAATTTCGATAAGCTAGCGAGGAAATATATAGACCAAACTTGTGTTAACATAACCAAAGCGGACCTTTGCTGGATATGCCTCACTGCAGCAGCTTTCCATGCATTTCACCACTAGATTTGGGCTTGGATCAATGAAGAAAAAGCAACCTGATATAATAATATACAAAAAATTGTTGTGTGAAACTGAAATGTATGTACTACTTAAGCTCTCTCCATCACTGTTCAAGGCAGTAAATAATAAGCATGTAACTTATTGGTTGAAGTGCTCCGATCCTCTTAAAGCAAAAAGAATCAGAGGACGTAATAAAAGGCTAAAATTAGGATACTTAAACTCTTAGCAGAAATTATGAATTAAGTAAAAGTTCTTTGGTACTCACAGAATATCTCTCTTTCCCAACAGGGACAACACGGTGCAATGTAGATCTGCAGGTTGTAATAGAAGCGCATTAGCAGACTCTGACACACGGCCTTTTGTTCTCGTAGGAAAGACATGGAATATAAATGACAAGGAACCAAAAGAATATATAACTCAATAACCTTTCCAATATATTGTATAAGTAACAGAGCTATCATATAGTACTACTCTACTAAGATACTCATCATATTAACTACAAGGTTGTATGCAAGATGTTGCCAATTATGGACCAGAACAAACTTTATCTAATAAATGGTTATATTTTATCATGCAACTTTGAAGAGTGGCACAGAACAATTTTTCAAGTTGCCAGTGCTCAGTGCTCACAGAGTGGACTTACACGGGAGAACATAAGTAATAAATGATGATACCTGAAAACACAGTTAGTCCACCTTTCTAACAAATCGCCAATATTAACAATAAGGGACCTACAAGTAAACCAGAGTAAGACGATACCATATATACTGAGCCATGAGAATTATATATCTACAGGGTATACAAAACAGGATTAAACAAGTTACGAAAACACAGCAAGCTAGGATATATTAGAGGGTAAAGCACTTGAAAATTTTGAGTAAATATGTTGAAAGGCTATTATTGTATTTTGGGATCGCTGTTCATAAAATCAGGAAATAAGTATTACCCATCAATGTGGTGAACATCTTCCCAGATCTGAGGATGTCTATCTTTTTCTCTGCATATCTACAAGGTACAAGTAAAAGATCCATAATTTTTTGACCGAACAAAAAAGATCCATAATTTACATGTGAGCATATAAAAAGAGTCATCGTGTTTCATCGTTCTAAGTGAATATAGGCATTTTTCTAATGATTACGTAAAAAGGATAGTGCTATGTAAATTCATCAGTCTGAACTTGTGAAAAAAAAACTATGCCTGCAAGCCAGGTGTTCCATCTGTTGCTAAAAGGGTTAGCATTCCATAATCCGAGTGCGCTGCTGCACCAACAATGTCTTTGTTGTCTGGACCATTTACGTCACCTGAAATGCAATAATTAGGTTCTATTGCATATAACCTATAATAAAGCCAGAAAAAAGAGATGAAATTTACCTGCATAGTGTAATAATCGAATAAATGCTGAAGGGGGTTCAAATGCACCGTTCTTGTGAAAGAATTCAGCGTCAAGGTCCAAACTCAAAGCAATTAGGGACAATATTCTTTTGCCTGTAGTCCTGGAAAGGAAGAGCAATACAAAAGATAGAAATAAGAGTTCTATAAAACTACCATGAAAATGCAACCCTAAAACTTTTTTTTTTTGAGATTATGCAACCCTGAAACTTTGAGGTTGGTATATAATACCACAATTATCAAAGGTATATTGTTTATTGGATACTCTCTCTGTTCGGGAAAGCATGCAAGCCAACTCTAACATAGTCGGTTGTCCCATAAAGCATGCAAATGTAGCTATCTAGACCAGGATATATGGTGGGCCCTATCTCAAAAAGCCTATAGATACAACAGAAAAAGGAGGAGAAGTGGTTCTATCTGCTCTCGTTGATCGATGACGGAGAGAAAGGGAGGATCAGAGGGGTAAATGAGTCTTTTGGTTTTCTACTAGTGTTGCCGTGGCATATATATCCGGGTGGAGGGAGTAGTACAAAACAAACAGAACTTACAATGCATTTGCATGGTATGATTGCATAGTCTTTTTCCAGGAAGGAAGAGTTCTGCAAATAATTTAGCTAGATGAGGATTGAGCAATCGTTTATTCTTTTGAAAAAAAAACAAATTAGTAGAATGGACATCCCATCAAACGATTAATGTTCATCATATATAAATGTAGAATAATCTAGAATAATGGTAATGGGTTGCCAGAAGAACACCTATCCTTGGTAGTACATGACAAATAAATACCTTCACAAGGCCAATCTTTGATTAATGTTATTCTCCAAATTTTCATCATCCATTGGGCCAATATAAAATGTCTCCTTGGAATCTCCTACATAAACTTATCACTTGTCACAATTGTGGATCTCAAATATATCAAAGAAATTTTAAGAAGTTATGATATCTTATGAACTCTCAAAAGTGTGTGGGCTGCGTGGTGAGGATGTGGGGAATGGATTTCCACACAATTTGTTTCTTCTGTTTGGAAGTCACTAGTCCATCAATCGATGCTCCTATCTGAGCTAGAAACTTAGGAAACATAAACATTTGAATTTTGTGTCTAATACCTACAAATTTATCATTTCACATTCTCTATATGATGTGCTTATTTTCTAACACAATACACATATAGGTACTTTGTAATCTTTATCTGGTTGTGATAAACTTATCTATTACTCTCAATGTGTTTGTTCTAATCCGTATATCTATAGTTCTTCTTCCTCTGCATGACACCTCCATGTATTTTCAATGTGCATTTAGTTAAACTGTAGTTCTGGTGGTGTCTCATGACGTCATGAATCAAGAATTAGATTTTTAAATTTTGATCATGTCTGTAGCTACAAATATTTTATCCTCAAGTTACATTGAAACTCTTGTACTTACTATATCTTTCATTAAAACTCTTGTTTAAGAGGATATTAATATTCAAGCCTAATAATCATTGTTTACTCTAAAAATATCAAAGAGCAGAAGGTCATAGTTGACTTTTGTATGCTCTAACCTCGTTGAGTGCTAATCAAGATTTTGAATTTTCATATCAAATAATTAATCGTGTAGTATTATTTTTATAGGGAATGGAGCGGTTTACAGTTATATTATCATTGAACATGTCATAATATTTCAGCTTAGATTTATGAATCATCTAAAAATAACAACTTATGCTCCCTCTGGTCCAGTTTATAAGTCATTTCACATAGGTCAAGAGACAAACTTTATAATCTTTGACCAATAATTTGGCTAATACATTTTAACTATTGTAATACAAATTTAATCCTATTAGACTCATAATAAAATATACTATTCAACAATCATATAAGTTTATAATCATAAACAATATAGTATAAAATAAATAAATGATCAAAGTATAATTTAGAAGATCATGTCATGTCGGAAGATGCCTTATAAATTGGACGAAGGAAGTATAAATTATTATCATGGATATTCATAAAAAATTAAACAATGTGTTAGTGTATTATATAAGAGTCATTAAGGAAACATTTTCATGATTGCTAAAACATAAATATCTATTTATGGCTTATGTATTCATGTTTATTTTAAATTAGTTTTAATATTAATAGAAGTAGGTAATTTATAATTATTTAAACATCTTTGTATAACTATAAAATGTTGGTAATTTAGGCGTAGATTTGAGGAGATATTTATTTTATCTTTTATAATGTGAGAAGCAATAACTTAGATGTCAATTTGTACATAGACTATCTATCATAACAGCGGGGGTGATAATATAGATGCAAACATAGGGAATTAGTTTAGAGTTTGATAATGTCATAGGTGACATAATTAGTAATGTGCGTATATGTAAATTTAACGGACTCCTTAGGTAAGCTATCATAATGACAGCGTGGATAACTTAGATATAAAATTAGAAGTTGCTTTAATTGTTTTTCTATAATGGTATTGGTGGATAATCTATATGTAGATTTTTATGTTACTCAATGGTATAATGTTTTTTCATAACAGGGTTGTGTAATTTCTTACAAGGCCATGTTTAGATGTTGTAGTAGTAGGAAGTTTTAGAACTCATAGACATGCAGAACCATGGTTTTAGAAATAAGAGGTCTAGAGTGGAGTTTATAAAACTTCAAAGACTACTACAATTTAACAATACTAAGGTTTTCAAGACCTTTAAGCTTGTTAATTAATTACATCCAAACCTTTCGTGACACTTTAATTAAAATCAAATTATTTGTCAAACCATAGTATTTTGTAAAACTCTAAAAAGTATTTTGCATCAAACAGGTAGGGGTCAATGTTGTTGTTGTAGTGGTTATGCTGCTTGATGTGAACTCCGATCCTGACCTCGTGACTCGAAGAGTCGTCGACCTTCTCGGAGTAGGGCCAGGTGTAGCCCTGTATCTGCTGTTCTTCCCCAGCGCCATCTTCTCCTCCATGGTCTGCTCGAAGAACTTGCGGCTGTCGGCGAACACCCCGCTCCAGCAGGGGCGCGCTCGATCCCGTGGTTGATCACGTAGAAGAAGCCGTACTCCACGCACGCCTGCTAGACGCTTTGCTTTTTACACTGTGTTAGTATATATAGGCGTAGCTGCGCTATGAAAGCAGGAAACTCTTGCAGAAAGCAAGGTATACGTATGACAAGGGCAGGGGCTCAGATGCTCGATGGGACCTGGCGGATGGACTTGGCGGCGGCGCGACGGTCGGGGGACGCGAGGTCCACCACGGGGAGGTCCAGGCGGCGGACGGCGGCCATTGATCGATGACGATGATGTCCCCTGCTTAGCTTGCGCGGCCTCGATCGATCGAGGACGAGGAGGCGCACTAGCTAGGCTCCCCTCTGTGCTGCTAATGCTCTACGAGGGTAGAAGGCTTGGCTGCTGCTGGCTTCACCTAGCTCCGGCCTGAGAGCCCTGAATTGCCTCCCCACCGATCGATTTTATAGCACAAGTAGTAAGCGAAGCGTGCCCGTTTCGTGTTTGCTCGAGGCACGTCACGAACGAGCTGATACCCAGAGGAAAAACGCATGAGTACTCAAACTCTAAAAAATAATACGCATTAGTACGATCCTAGTGGATTATAGAACAGGGCACGCGATCCACGCTGACAGCGAAACATGGGGGAGGGAGCATCATCGTCTTTGTGTCAACACTTCAACACTAGTCGTCGTCGTCTGTTCCCGGCCTCATGCGATCCACGCTGACAGCGAAACATGGGGAGGGGGAGCATCATCTTCTTGGCTGGTTCGTTTAAATCATTTGGTTCGTGAAGAAATCTTATTTTATTAGTTAGTGTGAGAAAAAAATCTTATTAAATTTGAAATTTTACGATCGTTTACGACAAAGCCGAAGCCGAACAAACAAACAGGCTATTTGTGTGTCAACACTAGTCGTCGTCGTCTCTTCCCGGCCTCACGGCGGGTGGGTCGTCAAGATCGAGCACGGCCCAGGCCCACGCTATGATTTGCCCGGGTGTCTCAGTTCGCGGTCAGCTGTACAGCAGCACACACGCGAGTATGCTGTATGCTCGTGTTGCAACATTCAGATGAACTTGCAAGTACTTGAACGACACGATCGGTATGCGAGTACCAAATCGAAGATCTCATTGCAGGATCATCATAGTCAATGGTAAGCTGCTGGCAGTTACTAGTACTAAATATTTTAAGGATCCTGCAAGGAGGGGTGCAACATGGGGACGTAGCTCATATGGTAGAGCGCTCGCTTCGCATGCGAGAGGCACGGGGTTCGATTCCCCGCTTCTCCAGTTTCGCTGCATGCGGTTTTTTCTTTGACATTCCTTTGATAGAAGTTTCTCTCTCGTCTTAGGGCATGTTTTGTTCCTAAAATTTTCACCTCAAAGTGTCAATATTGAATCTTGCGGCACATGTATGCTCTACTAAATATAGAACGAAAAAAAAAAGCTAATTGTATAGTTGGGTGAGAAATCGCGAGACCAAACTTTCAAACCTAATTAATCCATAATTAGATACTAATTACCAAATACAAACGAAAGTCTTACAATAAAAGCCAAACCCAAAAAATTTGAGAACTAAACGCGCCCTTACTCTTACCAAGTTACCAGACTCAATAACACAACTTCTCAGGCTCATCGCGTTTTTTTTCTAAAAGTTGAAAGCATTCATCGTACTATAATAAACCAATCAAAATTATACTAGATCTATCCACGAAAACATCCCTCATTTGAGCCTCCAACCATTATGCATCGAGAAAAATGCACCACGGAAATTCATCGCTATATTAAAATCAAAGGCTAATAAAATACAAAAACTCATCCAACGGCTTATCTTTGGCGTGTGATGCGGCCTTCTCTCACCCCCCACGCCCAAGCCCTCACGTCCGCCCCAGCGACCACGGTTCAAACACTCCCGCGACCCGATTGATTCCCATTACCGTTGTTTTCCCTTCTTTTCGAGAAAACAAAGGTTGAGAACATCGTCCTCCTTCTCCTTCCCAGAAAGCGCCACTCCGTAGAAATCCCCACCCAAATTCCCGTCCTCCGATCCCCGCCCTTCTACGCCTAAATCGAGCCCCTACCCGGTGGCGTCGCCGTCTCTGTTGTCATGCCCGTCTTTGTCCCCTCGGCCCACGGCGTTGCGAGCAAAACCCTAACCAGCCTCCAGGATCCGATTCCGAGGCGCGGAGAGGGAGGCCCACCCGCCGCCAGATGGAGCCAGGAGGTAAGATGGACCTTCGACCTCCCTTGCCCGTGCTTCGTTCGTTCTTACTTGGTGCCCCGCATGAAAATATGGCGGCGAAGCGGCCTTACAGTCCTCGCCCGTCTGGCGCGGCCGTCTTTGCCCGGCTGGAGCACCCGACCAAGAACGACAGGTCATTGAGCTTTGCTCATCGTCGAAATTTGGAGCCTGAGGAGTGCAACCGATTCCGGTCGCCAAAGCGTAACAAGCATGTTCATCTCCTCGGGCACATCTCTTGAAACACGGAGGAAGGAAGCGGCGGCCCGGCGAGCGTCACAGAGCCAGCGCGCCCGTCCCTAGGGTTGTAACAGCAGCGGCCGACCGGCTCGTCCCCACGCTTTCGAGCGATGGCACGTAGTACTGCTTTGGGCGGCCCGGCGAGGGACGGCCGGTGCTCGCGCCTAGGCCTGCGCCTTCTCCCGTGGCCGGACGGGGCGCGGTGGCCTAGATCGCCACCCGCCATGGCCTGCTGCGTCCTCAATCCATGCGACGAGGAGATTGGGGCGGAGGAGAGAGACCCACTTCCGTGCGGCTACCGGCCGAGTAACGTCGCTCGTCTTCTGCTGCGGCACCACCCTTGCTGCTTTGCTCGGATCGATCCACTGTCCGCCGCTCACAAAGCTTTCCCAGCGTCGCCCGTGCGTTGCCAATCGATGTATTCACGGTATTCAATGCGTGCCCTCCAATTCCACGCTCCATCTCTCTCTGTCGTGTGTTTGGTTCATCACGATGGATCCGATTGATCTGGTTCATCTTGATGGATCCAATTCTCTGTTTCGCATGCTCCGGTCCCGTCCAAGAGGTCAAACTATTTTAATTTTGTGCTAGGTTGCTTCTTTGTTTGGTAAATTTGCATCGCTGCATGCATGGACACATGAGAATTAATATGTGTAACCAAACATTGATCAAGCGAGAAATACAAACAGCTATTTTTTAAAATTGAGCACAAAATTGCTAAACAAATGTCTGAATCGTTAATTTTATTCTTCATTTCTTAATTGATCATATATTGTTTGGTTTAATTTCTTCTATTTTAGAGATGTTCTTTGAGTAAGGCCCGAATCCATCATTGCCTTACCAACATCAAGATTGCGCTTTTCCGATGGATATGCATACATGGATGTTGATGCGCTCTTGGCTTCATGGTTGCACACCACCGGAACTCACCGTGGTTCGGAGGAGAGCCGACCTACGCCATCGTCATGAACGTCGACTGTTCATGCTTGTCCTTGACACGATAAGCGATTTCTTAGCCGATGATGGCGATGCGTGGCGAGGACTTGTTAGTGTAATTCTCACGGCACTTTCGAGAAAAAATTTATCTCGGAATGTGCAGTTATTTCACGAACATCTTCAGATTTAAGGAACTCTTATGAAATTCTTGGGGTCTTTTACTTGTATGCCATTAAAAAGATGGTCTAATGCGTCTATGTCCCTAAAAAGTTTGATCTATCATCGATTGTCCAAGCTCGAAAACTTTTCTCTCTCACGCCATTCTATCTATTTGCGGCACTAATAGTGTGAAATGTGGGTGGCAAAGGACTTGAATGCCTGGAACTTTTGTTTCTCATGTGCCACTACTGTTGGGCGGCAACTTTGATGGCTCTTGAACTAGGAAGGGGCAAAGGGGCGTGCACTTTGCCTTCTGCCGTCCAGGCCGGTCCAGCGTCCAGGCGTCCACGACTCCGAGAGCCGTTGCCTCTATATAAGCGCCACCACCGCAGCGGTGCGCACCACACCCCAGCGGCCCTTGCGTTTGAGCCTTGCAGAGCAGAAAATCAAGCGCTATCCGACTCGGCGCCTCCCGCTCGTCCACCGCCATGGATCCGACCCGAGCGAGGCGCGACCCCTCCGGCAGCGGCGCCTACTACACCAATGTGATTTCCTAACCTCCCCTCCTCGTGGCGGCGATCGCGCGACCTCTGCCACAGGCGAGGCCACGCCATTGGCAGATGAACCCGTGGCCGCGCATCGGGTGGCGACGCCGAGACCCGAGCTCCACAGCGTCGGCATCCCCTACCGGCGGCAACATCTCGAGCTCTGACGCGCTCCTCAACTTCCCATGCCCGACACCCAAACCTCGGTGCTGCGCGACCGTCGGCGCCGAACTTCATCACAGCGGGCGATACACGCCTCGGCATGGCTCCACCGCTCTCTTCTCCGTGCTCGATGCGGCAGGCGTCTTCAACCCTTGCGCCTCCGTCTATCATCCACAGGTGGCGATGGCGATCTCGCTTTCGACCGCCCGCCCGGCTTCACCGGCGTGGGCGGCAACTCCACCAACAACAACGAACACCTCCGCCCGGTGTGATCGGTCGCGTCGGGAGCCCGATGGTGGCGCTCCAAACCGTCGGCGCTTTAGGATGTCGAGCGAACCCGCCCTTCAGAGCGAACCCGGCGAGCTCGGATTGGTTGGCCTTCTGCTTTCGATCAAGACAACGGCGAGCTCGAGCTCATCGTGTGTGTTTGCTTTCTTTGTTGTTTTGCTTTTGCATGGTCTTGGGGAGATAGCTCTGAGGGTGCTCGTTAGGGTGGGCGCAGCGGAACTTCCCAATCTTTACTGCGACTATTCGGTGCCTAATCGAGGATGGATGATGGAGCAGAGCAAGGGCAGGAATCTGCTGAGCATTTCTTATACGTTGCCTTCGGTTTGTTGCTCGGTATGTAATGTAGCTACCCACAACAGCTCTGGAGGGGCGACATCGTATTACTACTAATGGCATT